CCCCAAAACCCCAAAACCCCAAAACCCCTTTAACAGTATTCAATATTGAATACTAAATTCTTTCTTCATTTCGATACACTCTTTCCATCTGTTTATCATATTTCTCAGCATTGCTAGTCCTACTCGTTGATCTCTTTCAGCTAGTTCTCTTCTTTTGTCCACTGCTAAGCCTAGAGCCAAATCCAGACTCTCCCTTCTCCTCATTTGAATTTGCTTTCAGAGCTCTCTTTGAGAAGCTTTTAGAGTAGTCATTAAACAGACTGAATCCTTTGTTCTTCTTCCGGTTATCTAATGTTCTTGCTATGATTTCCTTCTGTATTTCAGCGAACCTCTCTGTCTTATCTGTCTTGTAGTACTGGATCCTGCTTTTGGTGCTAGAGCCCATCAGAGGGTTCTTCCTCTCTTGGGACTTCTTCCTCCTTGTCGTTCCACGGGTCATATTTTCTAAAACTCATTAAGACATACCTTACTTGGTTGAGCATCGCTGAGATTAATAGTGTCCTTGTCCAAATTATAAGGAAACTTTGGGTACGGGGTCACAAAGTGTGATTTTAACTTATCTTCATAAATTTTGTTATATAGATCTTGAGTAGTTTTCCTCATCCTCTTGGTAAACCTTTGCTGGTTCTGAGGATTTTTCTGAGCATGATCAAACTTTGTCTGACTCCTAGCTCTCTTTGACTTAGAAGAAGCTTCGCTCCTTCTAGGTGTTATAGCTCTGATAGATGACATTCTTGACTTTATTCTGGTCTGAATTCTATCAACATTCTTTATCAGTTTCTTCTGTCTTCTTTGGTCAAGCTTATTGAATGGGAATCCTCTCTCCATATTCAACTCTTTGTCTAGACTCTTTGAGAATTTTCCTGAAAAATCAGTGAAATGATTTTTATTTCCAAGCATCTAGGTGAAGTATTGTTGCTTTATGGCTCCCTTTTATGACGGATTTTTCACCCAAGCGTGTGGACTCCCATCCTATCTGAGAAGTCCCAAAACTAGCCTTGCTAGGGATATATGAAGGTATTTTTCTCTCTTTCAAGTAATCCAATGGTCTATTTGATATATTTCTTTGTTTGTTGAAGTTCATTATGAATTTTATTCTTGAAATTAACAATAAAACTTTAATATTTTCAATAAATTACTATTATTTAGGGGTTTTGGGGTTTTGGGGTTTTGGGGTTTTGGGG